ATTGAGGTTGTTGGGAACAGTTGTTCCCAACAACCTCAATCAGTTGTTCCATTCATGATGATTCTGCTCAGTTTCTACCTTAGTCAGTTAAATAACCTGCTGTTGTCATTCTGCACATCTCTGATGTTGCTGCTATTTTCAAATATCCATCACTGTACAAATGTCTATAGCTGAATATTGGTTATTTATTCTCCAGGGGGACAGTTTTATATTGTTAAAACACTTTACAGTATTTTATTGTTTATCGTTTAACTGTTCACTATTGTGTTATTCTTAGACATGTTTCTAAAGTCCATATTTGTGTGACAATTCTTTCTATAATATTTTTGCTGCTGTTAAAACCAGAATTTGCCCATTTTGGGGCAATAAAGGTATTTTTCTATTCTATTCTATTCTATTCTATTCTATTCTATTCACCTCCAGAGGAGACCTTTTATCTCTTTGGAAAATACGTCTTGATTAAGTGAACAGACATAACATGTCTGGTTAAAATAAAAATAAAGTATCCTGTGTAACGTTCAGCCTTTATTTTCCACAGTGGACAGGAGGACCAGCGACACGCATGTGAAGCGAATCAACATGGCCGTATTTAAGCCTGAGAACGTGGAAGACTTCTATGAGATTGAGGAAGTTCTTGGAAGGTACTGGTTTAAATGCTATGAGTGGTTTTAATGTGTTGGAGTTTTAGGCGATCCACATGCATCAACTGTTAGGAACCACCTACAGACCGGGTTTGAATGTGGGGCAAACAGCCAATCATCACTGTGAATCATTCACAACTTCCTGTTTTAATTCTTGTGAAAAAAAGAGGCTGGTCCAGGGCCTGAAGACAAGCCGTTAGGATCCAACATTCCCAGGAGTTTAGACAGCATTACGTCATAAAGATAAAAGCAAACCAACCTGAAAGTTGGGCTCAGTCTGCCTGCGATCAGAGATACACCCTAAAGAGTGTTTCAACATATAGCTGCGTCACATAACAGCATCACAGCCTCTGGAGTCTCCCCTCTCTGCCTCATATGAACGATTTGTTTCACGCTCCAGATTATTGACAGGGCTCAGCGTTTCTAGTCGTTTTGAAGTAGCCTTGGTTTATTGGGCATTAGAGCATTTAAATCTGCCAAACTGAGATGTTTACTCTGACTAACGGCTTTATTTAAAACCAACAAGGAACTATTTTTATATGAAGCATTATAAACTGATCATTAGAGTAATGCTGCCTTTGTTCTTATAATGACTGTTTATCAGAGCAAGTTATAATGACGACTGTGACATCTCCCCACCCTGCCTGCTAAAACTGCTGAGTCATTAAATCAATTCAGTTTAATTCCATAGCACCAATTCACAACACGTCATCTCAAGGCACTTTACAGTTCACCAGATCATCCAGTCAGATTGGTTCAAAGTTTTCTAGTTGATTGCATCGACTC